CTTGACCGACAGGATGTGACTGTCTAGAAGACAGTATCAAGGTAGCTTTCCCCCTACCAGATATGCTGCAGTGTCTGAAGCTCTGATTCTAGCTCATCAACTCTAAGGTAAAGTTCCTTGAACTGAGGACACATACTGCAGATATGGTCACTGTGGCTCACAGTGGGATCCACCAATTCCCATACAACGCAAGAACAACACATCACCTGTACTGCCATTTCTAATATAGTTAATCAGGTTTTATTTGTTGTTAAAAAATTTATTCTTGGATAGTCACTAAGTTATTAAATCCCTTCTGAATCTACTGCTATTTAAGGCTAGTTTGGAAGATGCCATTATAGGAAGCAACATGAACTGCTGCATTCCATCTTGTAAATTTGTGTATGGTATGCCAGTCAAGCAGGAGACTTTGTCCTAGATTGCTTTGTCCTAAAAATACTCATGCAAGCAAGTGGAGAATATTGCATCACATTTCTGACATAGTGATAGAATAGTCATTTACAGCCCTGGAGGAGGCCATTTGGACCCATTTCATCTACAGTGTTTCTCTATGGAGTAATCCAATCTGTTCTTTTACTTGCTATATGTTCTGACCCACTACAAACCCATCAACTCCCACAGTTATGTTGACCATCTTCACTACCTCCTACTTTTAAAGACTCTATTCCATTCTCCCAGTAGTTCTGTCTCCGTTGCATCTGTTCCAATGAGGCCAATTTCAAGGGAACCTCCAAAATGTCCATATTCTTCAGCCAGGTCCGACCCAGCTCCTACATTTTGGCCCTCATGCCCTCTCTTCCCTCCCACAACAGCAATAGGAACCCCTTGTCCTTACCTACCATCCCACCAGCTTCCACAACCCGAGGATCATTAGCTGCCATTTCAGCTACCTCCAGTGAAATGCCACACCAGACACACATTCCCCTCCCCTCCCTTGTCAGCCTTCCACTGGTACCATTCTCTCTGGAACACTTCAGTCCGCTCTTCCTTTGCTCCCAAAAACACCCACCCCACAGCCCCACAGCACCTTCTCCTGCAACTACAAAAGGTGTAACACCTGTCCGTTTACTTTCTCCCTCCTCGGTATCCAAGGGCCCAAACACACCTTCCAAGTGGAGTAACACTTTACGTGGACTTCACACAATCTAGTCTACTGCAATCGCTGCTCACAATGTGGTCTTCTGTACACTGGGGAAACAAAACATAGACTGGGTGACTGCTTCACAGAACATCTACATTCTGTCTACACAAAAGACCCTGAGTTTCCAATTGCCTGCCATTTCAATACACCATCCTGTTCCCTGAGGGCTCTCTCTTAGTGCAGGGTCGTTGGGGAAAGCCAAATTACACACCTTTTTCACAGCAGTATGTTGCCGAATTCTATGACTAGCATTGCAGGGTGGCCCAGCATCAAAAGAGGCAAGAGTGGGGGTTTTGCAAGCAGTGGTGGCAGAGTTGGTGTCACATCCACTGGCAGGGAGCCATGGTGACAGAAAGAGATTAAGTGGGGTCAGGTCTAGGGAAAAGAAGGTGGGGGTGTGTGTTAGATCCTGTAGGGATAGAGAGATGTTGGGTCCTTGGCGGAGATGATTGTGGTGTCAAGTTGGGGTTTGAACGATGCATAATTGAAGGGGATCATGTGGTAAATATGGGAGTGTGTCAGCTTAATAGTTAATCAGGAGTTAGGCCAGACTTTTAATAGTCTAATATTTCCTAACTATTAACTGCAGCAGAACTCTTCAAACTCTTTTATTTAAATGAATACTTACAGAGTGTCCCATGTGAAGGAGAACTGCCATTCGGTATCTGCAATTTCCTAGGCAATCCCCTCCCTGTCTGTTATGCGAGTATTCCGCATGGTCCCGGTGCCCAACTCCTGTCTACGCTGTAGGAATGGCTGTCTGGTCATCAGAAAATCTAGTGTACCCTCCAGAGAAGAATGGAACCACTGACAATAACTTCTGGATTTGCACAATTGTGCGGAACATATGCAGACTCAAGAATTTGCTGTTGGTTTCAAAGGACTGAAGACAGTGAATGACAATGGATTTGGCCGCATTCCTACTTCATTAATTTATACGCTGAACAACTGATAGCCCAGTACAGGTCCCTGTAATATACCATTTGTGATATCCTAACAACCAGAAAACATTTCTTTTAGCCATACTGTATTTCCTACTTCCCAATAAGTCAACAACCCGTGTCCCAAGGTTGCTTCTCCACTTGCAATTTTCCTAATACTGTAATTTCTTGAGTACAACTTTATCAAACTTCTTCTAGATTCTAGACATCATCCATAGTTATGCCCCAGCATCAATGTACGTTTTCCTCAAAAAATCAAAGACAATGATCACTGCATAGATCAGTGCATAGATCACTGAAAGTTGCCACCCAGGTTGATAGCGTTGTTAAGAAGGCGTACAGTATGTTAGGTTTTATTGGTAGAGGGATTGAGTTTCGGAGCCATGAGGTCATGTTGCAGCTGTACAAAACTCTGGTGCGGCCGCACTTGGAGTATTGCGTACAGTTCTGGTCACCGCATTATAGGAAGGATGTGGAAGCATTGGAAAGGGTGCAGAGGAGATTTACCAGGATGTTGCCTGGTATGGAGGGAAGGTCTTATGAGGAAAGGCTGAGGGTCTCGAGGCTGTTTTCGTTAGAGAGAAGAAGGTTAAGAGGTGACTTGATAGAGACATACAAGATGATCAGAGGATTAGATAGGGTGGACAGTGGGAGCCTTTTACCTCGGATGGTGATGGCTAGCACGAGGGGACATAGCTTTAAATTTAGGGGTGATAGATATAGGACAGATGTCAGAGGTAGGTTCTTTACTCAGAGAGTAGTAAGGGCGTGGAATGCCCTGCCTGCAAAAATAGTTGACTCGCCAACTTTAAGGGCATTTAAATGGTCATTGGATAAACATATGGATGATAATAGAATAGTGTAGGTTAGATGGGCTTCAGATTGGTTTCACAGGTCGGCGCAACATCGAGGGCCGAAGGGCCTGTACTGCGCTGTAATGTTCTATGTTCTATGACTTCTATTTCAATACAGAGTCCTTGCAAAATGATTTTTTAGTGCAAAGGAAGAATCTGTGTGAATATCTAAATTTAGAATTAATATTCTACAAGAATAACTAGAAATCTGTAAAATATTAAGGAAACCTGCAATGTTGATCTCTTTGAAACAAATATCCATAGAAAATTTTTAAGTTGTTTTATTAGATTATAGACAGTTGGATGGAATTGGAGGGAACTTTGCGATTATGGGTTGTTTGAGAGTGACCAATTGGGTGGATTCTAATATATCTTATCGATAAGCAAGTAATCACAATATTCCACAGCTTCTCTTAAAAGTCTTTGCATATTTTGTCAAAATTTTCACTTCCGTTGATCCTTTCCCTGCCAGGGTTGTACTTTTCATCTTAGTTTATGGGTTTGAGTAGGTCTAGTATTTCCAAGTGATAAACAGAACAAATATCCAATCCCTGTAATCAAGTGAGTCTCCTGTACAATTTAAATGCATCAAACTTGCCAGAACTTCTGTTTCCTTGGTATCAGTCTATAGTTTTTTACCAGCTTTTAGTGAGCAGAAGCTAACAATTAGAAGATCAACAGTGCCACTGATAGTAACTCTGATCAATATGCATGCTTCTCCCTTTTCAATAATGTATACATATATGGGTTGTTTAGTTGCTGTTCTCTAAAATAAACAAAGCTTCAAATGCATATAACTGGAGGCTTACCTGCCCTACGTTGACATGTAAGACCATAACACATAGGAGCAGATGTAGGCCATTGAGGCCAACAAATCTGCTTGCCGTTCAATGAGATTCTGGCTAATCTGATACTCCTCCACTCCTGGAGCCTTTTCCCATATTGATTAAAAATCTGTCTCTCTCAGCCTTCACTATACTTAATGTTCCAGTCTCTCCAGCCCTCTGTGATAAACAAATCCACAGATCCACTACCCTCATCTCTGTCCTAAACCCCATTCTCTGAGATGATGTTCTCTGGCTCTAGATTCTCCTCCATCTGTAATTCCAAATTCGCCAGGAATCTTATGGCTCAGTAAAATCTCCTCTCATCTTTCTAACCTCCAATAAGTAGAGGCCCAATCTATTCAACCTCTTGCTACAAGAAAATTCCTGCATACCCAGAATCAACCTGGTGAGCTTCCTCGGACTGCCTCCAATATCAGTATATCTTGCCTTACATAAAGGAACCAAAGGTATTCACAGTATTCCAAATATGGTTTAACTACTGCATTTTATAGTTTTAGCAAGTCATCTCTATTTTTATACTCCATTTCCTTTGAAATTAAGGGAGCTGTCCATTTGCCTTCTCTACTACCAAGTGAACCTGGACACTAGCATTTTGTGATTTATGCATGATGACTCCCAAAGCCCTCCAGAACTGTCCAAAAGCTCCGTAAACATAAATCCACATTAAAAAACTCTGCTGCACGATTTTAAAAAGTTCTATTTAGCAATGGGAAAAAAATCTCTCTTCTACGTCTATAATTTTAGACAATAAACAAGCCGTCCACATGTAGGTCTGTCCAAAAGGTCTGTTAATAGAGCTCTACTTCTTACTCCTGTACTGAAATCCATTTCTGATGAAGGTCAATGTACCATTTGCCTTCAGAATTGCTTGATGTACCAGCATGCCAGTTTTCAGTGACTCATGAACAAGGATATTCAGGTCTGTTTGGACATCAACAATTACCCAATCTCTTACCATTTATGAAAACTGTGCGCTTTTCCACATTATATTCCATCAGCCATATTCTTGTTCCTTCCTGCAAACTGCCCAAGTCCTCTTGAAGCCTTCTTGTATCGTCCTCATACGTAATTCCCACTGAGTTAACAAAGTTGCAAACATTAACTTTGGTTCCCCCTATTCAAAGCAAAAGTAAAATTTCCCAGTTTGCTCAGCAGGAGTCCTGTTGCTCATCAGCTTGTCGCATACACTCGGGGTGTAGGAGGTCCCATGTCCACCTGTCCGCAATGAGTTGCTATTGCTAATACCAATAGAATAGACTGTGTCCCATTAGCTAACTCTGGGTGTACATGAGTTAACCTCACCTTCTGGACATGATGTGGGGACACCTGAGACGATGTGTCCCTGTCACCACTTGACTGGTGCTTAAAGTGAGGGAGTTTAGTTATACTGAGACTGATGAGCTGTGATTGGTCTCTTAAGAGGGTCATTGAACACAGGGATCTAAAGTCGTGAGAGGGTTGCAGAAAAGGTGATGGAGAGAGGCTGTTTCCACTGGCAGGAGGGTCGGTTACCTGAGGACACAGTTAGAATAATTGGCAAAAGACGGTTTGTGCATGAACTGTGGTTGTGGGATAAGGGCTTAAGGTTACCAATAGACGATCTTAATCTGTATATATCCCACAGTGGTCTCTTTGTATCGTCCTCACTACTTGTCTTCCCACTTATTGTTGTTTCATCCAAAAACTTGACAATAGTGTATTCATTTCTTTTGCCCAACATTGATCTCTATGGCACTCCACTAATTGCACGATGGTCCTCGAAAAACACACCCATTCCCCGCACTTATCCCAACTCTCCATCAGCTATTAGTTAGCCAGTCCTCTATCTGTGCCGATATACTGCCATCCCAACACCAAGGACTCTTATTTCTAAGTAACCTAAAGTGTTGTACCTATTGAACTATCTTCCACTGACTGCATTTTTGCTGAAGAAATTAGCCTGCCTTAATCAGTAGATATCACAAAAGTTCTCTTCCTGGAGTTCCATATGCAATTTCCAGGAGAACTTTCAAAAGGAAATTGAAGAAATATTGGTAGGGGGAAGAGAGACGATTGGCTTATAGGAACAGAATGTGAAGTAAGTTTGGCAAATTCTTTCTAAAAAGGGTTAGTACAGGCATAATGGGCCAATTAACTTCCATCTGCACGCACCTTGCTGTTTCATATTTCATTCCGTCAAACTTCCCAGCCCCGAGATGAGACAATGCAGAAAATGCAGTCAGTGGAGGATAGTTCAATAGGTACAACACTGCTTGTATTCCTGTAAGCTGACATGTATAATGCTGGAAAATGTTATGTGAGTTTTTTTTTGGGATGATCGCCTAGTTACATGATACAATTCCTCTGTTCACTTGCAAAGGGAAAATTCTAATACTTGCAAGCATCCAGATTCACAAATAAGCCAATCAACCTGCCTTTATTTCATAATATTCAATACTCTAGCCTAACAAATTGCTAATCTTTGTCTTGCAATTTACAACTGATCTCACAACATCTTTTTGAGGGAGAGTTTCATATTTCAATTACACTTTTGCACAAGTATTCACCCCGAATGGCCAGGCTCTAATTTTACATCTTATTCTGGAGGGAAAATAATATTTCTCTAGGTATGCCAACAAATTTTTTAATCACCTTAAACACATTAGTCAGATCAGCACCTAATGTTGTGTATTCAAGTGAATGCAAATCTAGTATGTACAAACTTGTCCTTACTTGAGGGCTGACTCCAAAATATTAAGCACACCTGTAGTTTATAAATTTACATATTCATAACGAAGTAGTATTGCTTTAAAATACATTCGAAAGTACAATTTCACTCCAAGTTTGACAAAAAATAGAGAATTCTTCACTGTGACTCATCAGCTGGATAACATGCATCTATTTTCCTTCCAGATGTAAACGAATGTGAGACCAATCCTTGCATTAATGGAGATTGTAAGAATGTACCCGGCAGCTATTCATGTCAGTGTTTTCCAGGAAGTACTCTTGATGCATCAAGAACTCGGTGCGTAGGTATGTCGATTTAAATTTATTTTAAACATACAAAAAAGGCTATTTCGTTTGGGCATGTCATTTAACCATGAAAATAACGACTCCTTTTTGAGTGCAGAGAAGCTTTTACAAACTAATTTTTGTGAAAGAAAAACCAGTATAGATCTACATATTAAAAAACAAATTAATGATCGTATGCAGTTTTGGTGTCCTTGTCTGAGGAAGATGCTCTTGCTGTAGATGGAGTGCAGCAAAGGTTTACCAAGTTGATTCCTGGAATGGCAGGACTGACACATGAGGAGAAATTAAGTTGGTTAGGATTATATTCACTGGAGTTCAGACGAACAAGAGGGATCTCCTAGAAATCTACAAAATTCTATCGGGACTGGGCAGGTTAGATACAGGAAGGATGTTCCCGATGGTGGGGGAGTCCGGAGCTGGAGGTCTTGTGTAGGGTAACGGATAAACCTTTTAAGAATAAGATGAGAAATTTCGTCACCCAGAGAGTGGTAAGCCTGTGTAATTTACAGAAAGTGGTTGAGGCCAAAACATTGTGTTTTTGATAAGGAGATAGATGTAGCTCTTTAACAAATGGATCAAGAGATATCGTGGGAGGGTGGAATCATGGTAGTGAGTTCAGTGATCAACAATGGTCATAATGAATGGCAAAGCAGTCTTGAGGGTTCAGTTGGCCTACTCCCAATCCTATCTTTTATGTTTCTCATTCCCTTGAGTGTTGTTTAGTTGCACTTGTTAATTTATGGCCTTGGTAGCACCGCACCAGTGAACTGATGTTGCCAAGAGTAAAAGTTCACATGTATTCTTTCAAAACTGAATAAATGCCATTAATCTACTGTGGATGAGAATTATAACTGGCAAATAAGGTGTAAATAAATTGCACAAGAAATGTCATTTTTGGCTATGTGCAGATGCATTTGAAATAATGTATTTTTTAGTTTTTAACAACTTCTTTAGAATGAAAATAGAAAAAAAAGTTAATAAAAACCATAAAGTCTACATTGAAAGTCTGGCTGCTGAAATTCCCATGCTGAGTGTGTAATAGAAAGTTGGGAAATGTGCTTTGATGAGGTTGAAACAGCCTCTTAAACCATTGTAATCTATGTGATGCAGATATTCTCACAATACTATTAGGTGTTTCAGGAATGGTGATACATTTCAAAGTTGGCATGAGCCAGCTAAGTAGCAATCTCATAATTCAGATATTATTTTTAAGAAAGAAGAAAAATGCTGGAAACCTAAACACAATCTAAAGACATTATTTTTATTTTAAAGACTAAAAATATTCACCAATCTATTCACCAATCAGCTTCGTTCCCCAAAGTTGGGTCTTGTTGATGTCACTTTCCAACTGCTGTCATTGCAGGTTGGCCTCTCTGGATCTATGCCTTTATCCTCTTCCGTTCACCTTTGGTCTGGAGAGTTTGTTTGTTGCAGTAAACTTTCCTTAAAGCACCTTTGCACCAAATTTTCACTTTGAACCAAATTTCAAACAGTATTGTCAATAACTCATCAGGTTTATTCTCACTCAGCTGTAGTCCCACACTGCATGAAGAACTATATTTGATGTGTCCCTTTTCACTTGTCATTTAGGAATGTGTAAAATAGTGGAAATCCTCCTTATGCCTAAAAGTTCATGCTACATTATACAGTAGTTCATTCAAAGGGCACTCGATCTTTACACTGATTCTTTTGCATATTCTAAACAAGTTTTGAACTTGGAATATATGAAACTGTGTTTTACGGTAATTCAATAAAGTGTCAGTTCATGAGTATAGTTGTAAGACAGTTGATATGCATGCTGTTTTTTCTATTAATGTACTTTATTAAAAATTCAGGAAACTTAAGATTATTCTAGCTGCCAGAAAGAAATTCTGCCAACCGGTATTTTCATCTGGAAATATATTTTTTTCCTACAGAAACAGTTAAGGGCACATGCTGGTTGCAACATATTGGTGGACAGTGCGAAATAAACATCAATGGTGCTACACTGAAATCAGAATGCTGCTCAACATTGGGTGCTGCATGGGGAAGTCCATGTATTCCTTGTAAAATAGGTAATCATGTTCCTAACAGACACCACCATATTAAAACAGTTTACTTTGCACCAAGTTTACTTATCTCACTTTCTTGTTAATAATGCCACCACTAAAATCTTAAACTTTCTTTCTGGGAATATATACTATATGCTGTCACAGGTGTTGTTAAAGAATAGGTAATTAATTTTAACCCTAATATAAAGCAGCAAGTCAGGGGAAAACAACAAGCAGAGAAGTTACACTTAATATAGAAATGGAAGAAAAATGATAAGGTCAATAAAGCAATAAATAAGGTACATGCAAATTGATCTGCACTTGGATTTGTAGAAGGCATTTGATAAGGTGCCATGTCAAAGGTCTTGCAGAAAAATAAAGTTTGTGGTGTATTGCATAACATATCAGCGTGGATAGAAGATTGGCTGAAAACATAGAGTATGCATAAATGAGTCCTTGTTTGACTGGCAGGATGATGTGATTGGAAGTCCTGTGCTGGGGTCGCAATGTTTTAAAACTTCAATCAGTAACTTAAATGAGAGAATCAAATGCATGGTCACAATTTTGAGGGACAACACCAAGGTAGGAAGATATGTAGTGCAGAAAAGATGAGGTTACAATCAAATTTAGACAGGTTGAGTAAGTGGACAAAATTTGGCAGATAGAGTATAATGTGAGAAAAATGTGAAATTGTTCATTTTGGCAGGAGAACTGAAAAGGAAGAGTATTTCTTAAATGCAGAATGACTGCAGAATTCTGAGTTTCAGAGGCACATAGCTGTTCTATTGCATGACTCACAAAAGGTGTGCCATTACAACAGACAGAGAAGCGGTGGAAGTGTGCTTTTTCCGACTGGAGATCTGTGACTGATGGTGTTCCACAGTGATCAGTGCTGGGAGCCCTGTTGTTTGTAATACATATAAATGATTTGGATGAGAATGTAGGTGGCCTGATTACTAAGTTTGCAGATAACACAAAGATTTGGGGAGCTGCGGATAATGAGCAGGATTGCCAGAGAATACAGCAGGATATAGATATGGTGGAGAGTTGGGCGAAAAATTGACAGGTAGAGTTTAACCAGAAATGCGAAGCGATGCATTTTGAAAGACCTAATACAGGGTATTTACAGAGGGAAGTATACATTAAATGGCAGTAGTTTTAGTAGCGTCAACATACAGAGGGATCTAGGTGTATAAATTCCCTCAAAGTGGTAGCACGAGCGGATCAGGTGGTCAAGAATGCACATGGGATGCTTACCTTCGTTAGTCGAGGCATAGAGTGCAAAAATTGGCA